ATTTAAGGAGCGTAAACCTTGTTCAACAAACATTTGCCTTGCAATTAAACTGTGCAACTGTAGCCTCACATTGACACAGGTATGGGCTCTAATAATAGCAAAAGCAGTTCAGTCCTTTTGTTAACAGTCAACAAATCAATGTTTAACCCTCCTCTTGAGTCAAAAGGTTATCCGACACTTACTCTTCGCCATGTCAGTCGAAAGCATATTTCATGGTCCTTTCAATAAAGCCATAAAATGCTAGGTCACCGCTGAGAACAAAAAGTTTTCAAATCGCTCCGTCAGACCATGTTCCTCAGAAAATGTCTAAAATCTGCCGCTTGCCCATTGACCTTGACCTCCAAATTTCGGCACAGTGATGGCTTTTCCTACCATGATGCTATACACCGACTATCACGAGCTTAGGTCTGAGCCGTTTAGATTTGTGCCGCAATTCTTACATTTCCTCCCTATACCTTAAGTTAAGGAGTGAATGTTCCCTTCTTTTACACCTCTTGACCTTTGACCTTTGACCCCAGCTTCGACATCCCAACTCGTTTTCGGATTACCCCCACGTCCCGAATATCCGTGACCGTACGTCGAGCGGTTAAATTTGTGCCCAACTGTTGACGGACGGACCGACGGTACGCTCGGACGCGTCCGAACGAGGACGGCACGATCATGCGATTCTAACAAGCTGCATCTGACTGTCAGATGAGCTAAAAATGCAGGAATCGGGTGTCTCACTCTTGTGTTATTATCTACTCTTGATAATAATTACATTACATATTAATAATTTTCAAATGCTATTATTGTATATTTCAAGATTTTGGATACCAACATTGTTGAAATTACTATCCAAAAAATCCGGGATACAGATCTTTGGGGGATACCAGATTTCAATACCTGGTATCTCGAATGGATACCATAATAAAAATCTAATTTCGACCCCTGTTCGTGTCAAGTATTGAAATTATATGAGTGGTCAGTGAGATTTGTCGGTGGGCAGTGTAAGCCATAGATATTGTACTAATCGTGGTCAGTGCAAAGTCTTGTAAACATTGTTTTTATTTATTATGTGTGGAGGGGGGATGTGTTCAGTGAAAGGTTATTGCTATTAGTATGGTCGACGGTACGTGGAATTTTATTTAATGGTCGGTCTCTATTCGTCAGGAAGAGGTAGCTGGTGTGTGTTTGTGTGTGTGTGTGGGTGTGTGTGTTAGATTTGTGTGTATGTGTGTGTGTGTGTGGGTGTATGTGTGTGTGTATGTGTGTTAGATATGGTGTGGTATGAAGGTAGTCAGGGGCGTAGCCAGGATTTTCAAAGTTGTAGGCACGACTATCTGAGGCCGGCGCCACAACGACGCCCACCCGCCCGTCCCCCCCCCCCGGTTCGGCGAGCCGTACAAGAAAATTTTTGGTTTTACAAACCCCCGCAGATGGCCGGAAGGGGGGCGGCCTGT